TGCACACTAACAGACTGAGCCTGAGTCTCCCAATATAGAACAGCCGAATCCCAAACCAATGGGGAGAACCAAGTCAGATCACCTGTATTTCCCGATAGAACAGACTATTATTTGCAACCTTTGCCTGTGATATTCAAAATCACCTGCTTTACCCCACTCAGGTCTAAAATCGAGATAACAAGTGAACTTTCACTAACCACATTTTAAGCAGGTAGATCTTAACAACAGGTCCAAATATACCAGGGAAAGACTCTGCATTGGAAAAGCAAAAAGGTTAGCCCTTGGCTCAAGGCTCTGTCTCAACTACAACTAGTGTTCAAACATAGCCTAGAGCTCTCTGACTATGAGAGCTTCAGCCAGAGCAGGTAGCTTAGGGGAGGGGACCTTTGTGGGTCCCCACCACAACTCTGGTAACCTGCAGCACAGCAGGAAGCTTTGATCCTTGGTGCTGAATGGAGGGGACCTTTTGGGGCTCTACTGATACGGTTCCTTCCAACCTAGTAGCTCCTAAGTAGCACTCCCTTTCTCCAACCACCAAAAGAAGGTACAAAGGCAGCAGCCTGAAAGTTTATGGCAAATTTAAAGAAATAATCATTGAGAATCATTTCAGCCTGGAAATAGTTGTTGCAGGCTAATGTTCTCATCCAAGAGGCCCCAAGAGTTTCAACAAAATAACACCAGCAAGACATCTCCAGACATGTCCTATTAAAATTGCTGAGGGCCAACGACAAGGACAGAATTAAAAACTTCAAGAGAAAAAAGAAAAAGAGTAGCCTGTAAGGAACACCAATCAGAATATGCACATTTCAATAGAAATATTAGTCAATGTCAGGTAGTATTTAAAGTACTCAAAGAAAAAAATTTCCAGCCTAGAAGCTTTCACCTGCAAGATTAAAACTTATTTTGTGAATGGTTAGTTCACTGCCCTAAATATCAAGTGGTACCATGTGTAGGTACTATTCTTCTTGCAATGATTCAGAAAAGTTACCCATAAACTTTTCATATGTGTGAACTTTTCATACAGATAATCCTGAACAAAACCTTAAAAAACCCGTCAAGGGGCCTTCCCTGGAGGCGCAGCGGGTTAAAGCACAGCACTGAGAAGCTGAAGCCGCTTCCGCATGAGTTTGATTCCCGCCTGCTTTGGGGGAGATCCACATGGCGTGGCAGACCTCTCCTGACCCGCCCGCTGCTCCCCTCAGCAGTGTACTTCTTCGATCTGCCTGTTCTGCTCCCCACTCTGTCTCTGGTGAAGCCTCTCACCTTCAGCATCTCTGGCCTGTACCCCAGTTCTGTTTAATAAATAAATCTTTAAAAAAAAAAACAAAACAAAAAAACCCCGTCACGTCACAGAGCCTGCAGAAGAGTAATATGGTGGCTGAAACTTTCTGTAAAGAGCCAGATAGTGAATGAACACTTTAGGCTCCATGGGTCATATTAGGCTTGTTAAATACTTTTTTTTTTTTTTTTAAAGATTTATTTATTTGTGCATACGGAACTGGGGTACAGGACAGAGGCTCAGGGGCGGCGAGAGGTTTCACCATACACAGAGTGGGAGCAGAACAGACAGATCGACGAAGTACACTGCTGAGGGGAGCAGCGGGCGGGTCAGGAGAGGTCTGCCACACCATGTGGTCACCTCCGGGGCAGGCGGGAATTGAACTCATGTGGAAGTGGCTTTAGCTTTTCAGTGCTGTGCTTTAACCCGCTGCGCCACCAGGAAGGGCCGTTAAATACTTCTTTTTAAAATGTCCCTATAAAATATAAAAACCTTTCTTAGATTAAGGGATTATACAGAAAAAAAGAAGAAAAAGCTGCTTCCAGATTTGTCCCGAGGTGACCTGGTAAACTTTTGAAGCCCTTCTGATGCCAAGCAAATCACAGCAAAGAGGCCTAGATTATAATCACCCAGTTTTTAGAGAGGCCAACAACTTCTGTCTAGGTCCAATCAAACAGGAAAGTTTTAAGTCTGGTTATATAAATGTGTGTGTGTGAAAATACCCATTTAAAAAGATCATTTTTTAATGTGGTAAAATATGTATAACATAAAACTTCCTAATTCATTTAACCATTTCAAAGTGCTTAGTTGAGGCACATTAAGTATGTTCATATTATGATATATTGTCATCTTCCCAAAAGTTAATGCTATACACCCCCAACTCCCTCCTTCCCCTCTGCCCCCCAGAATTCCCAGCCTCTGACAGTCATCATTCTGCTGTCCCCATGAGCTTGACCACTTTAGATACTACAGCTAGATAGAACCCAATGGAACTCTGAGAAGTATTTAGAGGTAAGCAACTTCTAGAGAAACAATGGGTCCTAAGTGAGAAACATGTAGAACAGTCTGTTTCAATCCTCCATATATGTGAAAGAAACTCCTTTTTCTTTTTTTTTTAATTTATGCATACAGAACTGGGGTACAGGCCAGAGGTGTAGGGGCACTGAGTGGATTCACCAGAGACAGAGTGGGGAGCAGAACAGACAGATCATCGAAAATATATTGCTGATGGGAGCAGCGGGTGGGTCAGAAGAGGTCTGTTGCACCATAAGGTCACCTCTGGGGCGGGTATCGAACTCATGGTGAAGTGGCTGTAGCTTCTTATTGCTGTGCTTTAACCTGCTGCACCACCAGGGAGGGTCCCCTTTTCTTCTTTAATTGTACAAAAACCACCTAATGTTCCCTCCCTCACAAAATCAGTGAGCTATATTGTAGGACTAAAGTCAGAACAAAGATACAAAAAATCACCAGTTAGACTGAAATATAAGTGCTGTGTATATCAACAGGGATAAATCTTAGAAACAGTACTAAGAGAAATAATACTAAGAGCAGCACAGGCAATATAGCCCTGATGCTATAAAATAAGTAAAACTTAAACCTGTAATGTAGGAAATACACATAGGTGGCAATAGGGAAGAAACAAAATTCAGGGTAGGGAATAAGGAGATAGACTTGGGGAACACTTGTACTGATAGAAAGTTGTTAAAGTTTATAAGTTGACTGGTAAGTACATGGATGTTATGTTTTAAATGTAGAACAATAAATCTCAGGGAACCAAATCTAAATGAAAAAATAAATTCAATGTAAATGTAAAGATAAGTTACATGGACATAAACTGAGCTTGTTGAAATTCAGGAAGTAAGAATTATCACTAAAAAGGAAATCATCAACATACTCTAGAGACTTCATTAAGGGAAGAAATTGGTTGAGGGTAGTTTGCTCTCGAAACTACTTTTTGATGAAGCTATTATATTTCTGATCAAAATGTTTGTCTTCAATAATTTAAAGTCATTGTGATCTAACTGCCAAAGAAGTGGCGTTAATTATCCGGTATATAATTAACAATACCTTAATGATATAACAAGCATTGACTATATATAGTGAGATTTAACATATTCACAGCAAAAATGAATTCTGGGTAGGCATCGAGCAGGGAGTAAGAGTCAGGAAACCTAAATAGTCAAAATGTGAAAGGGTAAAGTAGCAAGGAAGTAATTCTTTAGAGATGAGAGAAATAAGGAAAACACCAGGGACTATCATTATGTTACAAGAAAGAAGAGTAAATTCAATACTGAAGTGACCATCTGGGTAGCAAGTTTGATTTACTTTTCCCAAGATTAATTAAGGTGGAGCATGTAGTTTAAGAGTGGACATATCTTTGGACAGCTTCACTTCCAAAAGCCACGGCATACTTAGCTAGTTTCCCAGGAAAGAGCAAATATACTGCCTTCTGGATATCTTCAGGGGTGAGGGTACAACGGTTTCTGAAATACATCATGTTGCAGGCTTCTATAGAAATGCGCTCAAAGATGCCATTGATGAGGGTGTTCATGATGTCCAAGGTTTGAGAAGATATGCCGCTCTGGGGAACCACTTCCTTGAGGACCCTGCTTACATAGAGTGAGTAGTTTCTGCGGCCAAACTTGGTGCTGAGATGTGATTTCTTTCTGACGATTGGGCTTGGATGTCCTCGGAAGCACTTGGTGTTTCTGGTGATGAATCGGGCCATTGTTGATGTTGTCCTCATGGTGGTTCCTGATGTTGAGGAGAAGGATCTAGGAGTTGGGCGAGGCACCCATACTTATACTGGGCTGCCACAATCAGGCTTCTGGGACTTCTCTTTGATTGGAGGTTGCTCTCCCTATGTCACAATCAGCTAGCAACAGCACTGACTTGTCGTCAAGAGGAACTCTTGTTCCTGGCCAACCTAAAGCTTTTTCAAGAAGACAGAGCCGCAAAAAGGACTGAAGTTGACTTCAGGGTACCAAAAGGGGCACTTTAGCATTTTTCTCTTTTATTTCTACACTTGATCTTAGCTAAAGGCTAAGTAATTTGCAGGCATAATAATAAAATATTTTAAAAATTGTACAAACATGAAATTGAGTGGTCAGAAGTAGGAACTTACTATGAGACTTTTATTGGGGGTGGTAAAACTGTGTATACAAGTATTAAGTTTAAATAATAAGGATTAATAAGTTCATTCTATAAGCGAATGAAAAAGTGATTACAAATCTGAAAATTACTGAATATAGAAATAAATATGGACAGCTAATCTAGTTTTTAAAGTTGGACGATTATTTTAAACTTGAATCCTAATTTTTTTTCTAGGCTTAAGGTATAGATTCATACATTTCTCAAGCTCTAGCTTTATGCTTCATCACAGTATGATTGAGACTGGAAGTTTGGGGGTGACAAATGCTTAGTCTTTCATTTTTGAGGGTTGGATAAATGACTCAAGGGCATTATCATGACTCTCAGTGATTATAGTAACTGTAGCAGAAGTGACAATAATTCAAAACAAAAACATGCCCAGCAGGCGTGAGTATGTGAGTATACTATGGGAAAGGTTTGCTGTCAGTCAACAGGAACCTTTCTATTGCTGCTGTAACAAAATCACCACACATTTATTGGTTTAATACAATGCAAATCTATTACCATACCATTTTGGTGGTGAGAAGTCTGAATGGGTCAGACTGGTCTAAAATGAAGTTGTCAACAGGACTGTATTTCTTCTGGGGGCTGAAGGGAAGAACCCATTCCCTTGCTTTTTCCAGCTTCTAGACACTGCCTACATTCCTTGGCTTTTCCTCTATCTTCAAAACCAGTAATCACTGGTCAAGTCTTTCTTATGCTACACCCAATACTGTTTCCTGCTTCCCTCTTTTACTTAAAGCAACCTTGGAGTCTGCCTGAGTAATCCAGGATAATCCTTGGTCAAATCTGCAAATTCCATTCTGCAATGGGAGGTACATAGCACAGATTCCTGGGTTTGGTTTATGCCCATCTTTCAGCAGGGATATTATGCTTTCCACCAAATCCACTGAGGATAGTAAGAGATTGTCAGAGAAGATTTGGGTCACCAATGGTTTAGAAGTTGGAGATTAAGTAACAATGTAGTATGCGACCAGAGCATATTTTAAAAATGCTTTCAATATAGGCTGACTTTCTTGTAATTAAATTGTTTTTTCTAAAAATGGAGAGCATCTTGGATTTTTACTTTATCTGCTGTGTTTTCACATCCCCAAATATGCTTTTAAAAAGTCAGTTTTATCCTGGGAGACTGAAGGATGACAGTAGATAGTTTTCTTTCCTCCTTTCCTTTCCATATTCCTTCTCTAGCCTCATCTGCTTTGCTCACAAGTATTTATTTACTGCCAATCACGTGCCAGATATTGTGTAAGTTGCTTTGTGGAGACACACCAATCAAGAAGCTATTAATTCCTACTCACAACTCAAAAGTTTATTGAAGTAAACAGACATGGAAGAAACTGACTGAGGCTGAGGGAGGGCACAGTACTTAGTCAGGGCAGGCTTCTACAAAGTTCTAGCAGGTGATGTTTTAGTTGAACCAAAAGATATAGAAGTTATTAAGGCACATAGGTGGTGGTGGGGTAGAGGAGACAAGGATGTGTAAATAAAGTGCCTGCAGGGAGAGAGATGTTTTTGTTTACTTCAGCATGAAAATGGGCACCCTCAGGCCTGAATTTGATTCTTATTTTCTTAGTTAGAAAACATGTAATGTTCAGAGAGTAGCAAAGGAGTGAATTTGCCAGGAGAGAACCCAGGTTTCAGTGAAGGCAGGGGTTCTCAAGCCTTGATGCCCATGAAGTCATCCAAAGAGATTTAAACAAGCCAGCAAGCCAGGCATGCCAGGCTCAACCCCTGAATAAGTGAGTCAGATTCTGCAGGGGCAAGACTTTGCTTGAAGCTTCCCATGAGCTTATAGTGTGTACCCAGGGTTGAGGATCACCAGTCGAACTAAGAACAAAATATTTGAGGGGAATATTGGGGCATTTATTTATTTAAATTTTTTAAAAAAGATTTTATTTATTCATACAGAACTGGGGTACAGGCCAGAGATGCAGAGGGTGGGAGGATTCACCAGAGACAGAGTGGGGAGCAGAACAG